TGGGGAATATCAGTCACAGTTGTACTCGTCGGACTCGTTAGTTGTCGCACTTGTTAAGAGTGGTACCTGAGAAATTGGGATTGATTTCTCCTCGAGACTTCTGTTGTTCCATTTCGGTGAGGTAGGCATCGATGTAGTCTTTGGACACCCCGGATGAAGAAAGGTTCCTCTTGTGCTCTTCCACTTCTTCCTGGTGAAAAAATCAAAGTTTCCAAAATGTTTAATGTTACGAACCAATTAGAAGAAATAAAAATGATGATTTTGAGGTTAACACTGTCAAACCAACGTGATGAGAGTGATCTCCAAAGAACATTAGTGAACGGAGCGGGGGGGGGGGGGTTAATTAGGGAGAATTAGTAAGGTATCACCCAATTTTTTTGTTTCTGAAGAGCTCCATGCAGACGTTGTCAATGTTCGTTATGGCATTTGCATTTGCCATTCGATCATTATATTATTATTATTGTTATTATATATGTAAGGGGCGAAACAATTCTTAGTTTGCATTCCTGAGCGACATCCAACCTCCTAATGCAGAGAAAAATTCCTAAAGTGCTCATATTAACCCGCCGATACGAAAATGACAGAGGGCTGCAATTCCATGGAATGATATTCTGACGCCAGGTGGAACAGTATAACCACCGGGGGGAGCTCTTCAGAATACAATATTCCCTAGCATCACTTCTTTTCTTTCCGAGTAGGATAAAGAAATTTAACATATATAGCACGTCTTGAGAAAGCCATGAAGATCGCCGTAAAAATCGAAGATGAATGACTGCTCTCGCATAGATTTGGCACCATTTACTGCCCGCGGTTAACGACAGTCACAAGCACAAGCAACAAAACATATCCATATAAATAAGAAATAACATTTACAGGAACTCACGACCTGGGACCTGTTCCTCGCCGCTGCTAAATTTAATCTAAGTCCAAGGGTAGATTTTTGAACAGAACTATCCGATAATGCTCTTTATTTCCAGGAAATATCATGTATTTTTCTTGGAATAAAGCTGCATTATCGGATAGTTTTCTGTTCAAAAATCCCACCCTTAGATTTCGACTAAGATTTTGATTTAGACTTAGATTAAGTTTAGCAGAGGCGAGGAAAAGACCCCAGGTCTAAGGAGCAGGATATGATTTTACAGCGCGACTGACAAGTGAGATTTAAAAATTGTATATCACACGTAGCAGTAACCTATGGCAGGGTGCAAAAAGATGCACATGCCATAATGAATGAGGTTACCAGGAATCTCTTGGAAATGGCGGCCATATTGCGATCAATGCGTCTAGAGGCCCGGAGTGCTGGCGGCCAAAGGTAGACCAGAGCTGGGACCAATTGAAAGGGCCCGAGGATGCTGGAGTCGCTCACAACTTCCATGCATTGATTCATGAAGTCCTGCATATCCTGATCATCATGGGAGAATTGCTTGTCTGGGGACGACAGCAGATACGGAATGAAAAGTTATGCTATAAGTTTAACACGTTGACTGCCCATGTCCAGTTAACTAGTCTTCAATGGCAGCAGAATCAATAGCATATTGGTTGGGATGGGTAGTCAATGTGTTGAGTTAAAAAAATAGTAATGACTTGATCCTCGAACCGGCAGTCATTTTCCAAATGATGTTGAGGATGGCAAGATTGAGCCGGGGACCCAGGTCTTGCAATTCGCGCTGATTCTCTTTGAAGTATCGGCAGAGATCAAGGGCAGAGTCTTGGATCATAGAATCCAAGGCGTCCATTTTCCCGAATCCAAAATCCCTCAAAACCCGCATGGTGAAGCGACGGTTCTCTTGCCACAGGCTCCCCTCCGAGCAAACGATGCCTAAACCAGTCCAAGTGTTTAAAAATGATAAGGAGGCGCCAAACGTGGCAATTAACACACAAATTAAATGGCATCCTCATGTTTCTCTGGGCATCATAAGATACGCACGTTATATGATTTTCTACGAGGAATTTTTTAAAATTCAGCCTTTGTCCTCTCCCGCTGCCAGCCTAAAAAACGCAGCGTTCTCGGACCACGGCTGGTCGTCGACGAAATGTACCTGTAAAGCAATGTTTGGAGTTCGATCTCATAGGTACCATTGTTTCCGTAAGAGATTTGTCGAAAGATCATGGCATCAGGTCGGCCAGAGACTTCCATCCGTCCGAAGAAATCGCGCACCAATTCCCAGTTGCTCAGAATCACGAGCTCCTTGTGGAACAAGCCGATGGTGAAGATGTCCCCGTGCTTCTTCCTCATGGAATCCAATCGCTTGTATATGTGTCCTCCCAGGAGAGAGGGGGCTGAGCCCAGAAATGGCACGCCCCATGGACCTGCAGTGGATACGAACCTATCGTTTTCCTCATCAATCGATCGCTTTTCCGCATTCAAGACAGAAGAAAGGGACTATTGAGAGGGGAAAGACAAAGACAGGATGTACAAGTACGAAGAACCGCTTGATTCGATGTCCCTGTTTGAAATGTGCGGAAAATAGAAGGCCAGAAAGCAAGAAAAGATGGGAGTAAAACTTTATCGGAGCCACACATCGGACTCATTCAAATTGTGGCGAATTATGGAATTTTGTTACCATGCCATGCATCTCGTCGCCGTGTAACTCTTTAATACTACGATGATTCGTCGCAGTTAACTTGAGGACCAACGTTTCGACGCCAACGATATATCGCTGGTATTATCAGTTGCGATAACATTCATCGCAAGCCGTATTCTTTGTCGCTCGTATTTTTAGCCTAACCTTTATTCTCATGACGCAGTTTAGAATAGAGTCAAGTCTATCATCACGACATGCTAACTCGATAACGTTCTCAGTGGGAGATGTATTTCCCCCAGAAATAAAAATTCCTTGTTACTCGAAGTTAATCCATGGTTGGAAATCTCGAGTTCCACGCGTCCAGTTGCACCCACTTGGTGGTTCCGTCCGCAATAACAATAACTAAGTGGCTTCAATGAATGCTACGATGGCAATGAACAGAGCACCACCCCTGCACACCATTGCACCCTTCGAATGTGGACTCATTTGGAGTATACCTATTCAAAGAGGTATACGAGGGTCAGAAGCCCCATATGCTGTCAATTCTTCCATAATTTTCACGCACCGAGGACTTCTACTTTCTCAGGCGACGAGATGATAAGTGAGATCTGCAGGGAATCGACGGGCCGACCTTTCCCTTCGCCTTCACTTTACGTGGACTGTGCTGAAAGTTTCTAGCAGCAATCAAAATGTATTTAATTATTAATTGAAAATTTCTCAAAATAGTCCCCACCAACTTCAATAGTATGGGTCGTTCTACCCAATTCTCAAAACGAGACTGCGACTCCTCAAGAGTGACCCTATCCAGGACTTCAGGAGGTGTCCACGAGGTCATCAAAAGATGGCAGCATCTTTACTCTCAAACCTTCGTCCTCAGCTCTTTGACCTTGGGAAACACAAAAGAAGTCATATGGGGCCATCTCCAATGAGTAGGGTAAATGTGGAACCACCTGAATCCCTTAATCGTGCAAAAACTCAACAGTTCTGGCAGCAGTGTGGGGTTGGCATTGTCATGTTGCTGCCTGATGCCACGAAGTTCAGTTTCTGGAGAGGCATTGTTGAGCTCCTAAAACACTGCAGGCAGTCAGACAGCACACCAATCAGAAGTCACTGTCCTCTGCTTCACAAGTGACAAAACCTTCACCAGACACCTTTATCGGAAGAAATCTGCAGCTGTACGCTTTCCGACACTGCGATCAAGTCACTTTCGTGGGAGAATCTTCATCTTCGAAGATCCGTTCCGTCGATTGCTGCTCTGTTTTACAGCCATAACTGTACCTCCAGGTTTCATCAACTGTGATGATTTCTGACTCCAACTTTGACCTCCTTTGACCTATTTCTTGGCATGAATCGAGCCCAGTCCATTCTGGTCTACTTTTGCTCAAGTGTCAACAAATGAGAGAGGATCCGATGACTTGACCGTTTGCGCAAGCGCATGTGTTCATGTAGGATAGTACCGTTGCCTATCCCTCCAAGGAATCATGCACAGGAATGTTTCTTTGCTCCTTCACCATGTGGTCGACCCGTTCAACATTTTCAAAAGTCAAGGACGCTGATGATCGCCTAGACAGGAGATCATCTTCAAATGACCGACGTCCTCGCTTTAATTCTCTGAACCAGAACCCGAAAGTTGTAGATAATGATTCCCCAATAACGCCAAGCAAATTTAGATGACACTTTGAAGACAAGCCATGTGAAAATTTTAAAAAATATTATGATCCATTAGGCCGACCGTTGAAGGTCGCCACTGACAGTAGCCACGATCGCAACCACCTTGTACTCCAGCACACACAGAATGGCTCAGAATGAGTCGACGGAAACCAAACCTACCCTGACATGTCCAAGCGTGCTATCCTTTTGAGTGAGTGAAACCATTACTCTCACTTGTCTCATTGCTTGGGCGCTGCTAGAAACTTTCAGCACATTCCACGTACATCAAATTTTGAAAGTTTTCACTTTTTAAAAAAATACGATTTGCTGTTTTTGCTGCGGAATCACATTTGTAGGATAGTTGCCTGGGGGAAGTGGAACCCCATTTTTACAATAGTACCGGGTGTTGCACATAGATAGCCCCCCACCCCTCCACTGCCTAAACTATGAGAGCTAGGGAAAAAAAAAAAAAACATGAGAAAGAGCATTCATTTTCGAATCTAAACATGTACTTCTAGTAATTTGTGTGAACCTTGGCTGTGTGTCTGACATCTTTAAGACGAGCTGGGTAAGATGAAAAGAGATGCTTAAAGAGTTCGGTGTCATCTCCCATGTCCTTCAGCACTCTGGTGATGTTGCTTTGCTAGGCTCCTCGGGAGAATCTATGCTGCTTGCCCTCCCTATCCCTCTTTTCAGGATCATGTTACCCGGAAAATCATGTTCCCTTATCCACATGAGAGCCTCATTTTGATCTTTCAGGATAACCCAGTGTTCTCGGCTACATTTCAGATCAGGAGAGTTTCCCGGCAATTCCACATTTCCAAAGAAATCAATCCCCGAGTCTTTCGGCATTTGCTGTGTGGTCAAAGCTCAGAAATACAGGGCTTTATCAGGCTGAAGCTGAACGCTAAACCTTTTTTATTCATAAGCCTGTGAATTGGTAACGAATTCAGCTCTGGCATCACAAGCTTCTCAAAACATAATAGCACTGATGCGATGAATGAATGTAAGTTTTTCAGCGTCTTACGACATCAGAAGCAACAAACTGGGATTGAATAGAACCAAAATTGAACAGAGATTCCAAATATAATTTTAAAAATTTTTTAGTTCCTATACGAGGTGCAGTCAGAAAGTCCGTACCGCACGCTTCTAGCATACGTTTCTGGAATTTGTTGGGATAAATTACGGTTGAACAAGGTATTATGATCAGTTGTGAGTCAGACAGCACATTGTGAACATTGTTGGTATTGTTGTTTGTGTGCAGCATTGGTTTTTCGACACAGTTTCCCCTACTGTCCCTGAGCAATGGAGTTCGCGGAGGAAGAACAAAGAACTGTGATCTGTCAGACCCCTTCTAATGAGAATGTTCTTTACGCTATTTTTCTGGACAAACAGGGTTTAGTTCTACCTCACGTAGTTCCTAAAGGTGCAATCAATAATGGAAGCTACTAAAAACGTGTTACAAACTGAGCTTTTACCAGCAGTAAAAAAAAATTTCATCCGTTGAAGGCCAATGACTGGTTCATCTGGACAATGCACCACCACACAAGGCAGGTGTTGTAATACCCACTCCACTGTTAGTAAAGGTGATGGGTGCGGGTGGGTAGTAGGGTTGGCTCTGTGTCGTGTGAGTGATTTTTTACTAATCAATTACCCTTCTAATAAATTCCAGTCGATAATTTATTTATTTTTAATGAAAAAACCTGTCACGTCACATTCGTGCAAACCTTCCCCCTGTAACAAATAAAAAAAGCAAACACTTTGTCTGATACCCCCCTCCCCCCTTTGCGTTACGTAATTTGTGAACGGCCCCTTATCTATGTGCAACACCTTTTATAATGTCGCCATATTTCCGTCGTTGACGATGTGATCGACGGTGATCAACTCGGTAATCCTGCGAAACCGGACACCGTGCACTGTGGCAACGAGAAGCGGCACACAAAGTGTACAGCAACTATTGGAACGCTTTGCACTAGGAAACGAATTGAATAGACATGCATATGCATGCAGGGGGGGGGGGGGCAATTAAAAAAGTCGTGATTTCGTTTCACTGTCAGAGCAAATGACCTGGTGGTAGTTTGGACCAAAGCAGGAATTTCTTCACGAAGAGATGCAGGATGTAGAGGAGGATGAAGGACGCGAAGAGGGGAGTGGCACACATTCTTATCGCTCGGGCGACACGTGGAACACTGGGGGAGCTTCCTAAATAAGAGGGAACAATTCATTATTCAGCTGAGAGAGCCTGGTAGAGTCTTGCGCGGGCTCTGCGGGTGTCCCGATTGGCCCGATCCGTCCCGACGCTTGGGTCCGATATCCGTAGATCGGGCCAGGCCTTATCCTTGTATCGGACTGCGTCCAGCAGAACAATTTTCAATCTGATTTTTTCTTTCTTTCTGCTCTGTGGTCATGCAACCTGAGCGGTAATGCGATTATCAATACGGTGGTGGTTGTGTCGAGCAGACGTCAACACTTGAAACTGCCTGAGTCTCGTTCATTCTGGAAAATTTCCCATGAGCGTCACTGTCCCGTTCTGTTAACAAGGCAGCGAATTAGGTGCGGTCCACTTCCGGTGGAGTCTTAATTTCGTTTGGCAAGTAGATGTGAGCCAATGGAGCCTGCCCGCCAAAACCGGACCTGTGCAGACTCTAGTGCCATGATAAACAAAATCCTTGGGCGATGCACTACTCACGGTTGGGGGAGGGTCGATAATTATTCTACATCAGTTTTCTTCCCGTAGATTCTCATCGTTGCAGCATCACGGTAGTGATCATCATCCTCACAAATCAGTTACATGGCATGGCAAAAAAGGACTGACGAATTTTAAATTCTCGCGCTGGAGTTATTTTTACACTTGCACTGTGCAGAGGTGCATATTAACTTTATCCAAAGTCATTACATCGGCAATGGGCAATTATTCAAAGGCCAGACCAGGCCACATTGCCCTGACCATTGAAATCTGTTATTTGAGCTAATTTTAATGTGTTTTTTTTTATCATTGTAATTCCAAATAATGACTGGTGATTCCATTATAAATTAAACGTTGAGTTTGTTCAAGGGTTATTGAGACCTTGAGCTGGATAATAATGGAAAATAACCTGAAGATTGGAAAAAAAATTGCTGTGGGAACCGAAAGTGCTTAGGATCTCTGGACTCTTTTTGATATAATTTGGCATTAAAGAGCAGATATAGAGAATGGGATTTATAGACGGCCGTTGATGGAATATGAATATTTTCGCCCGTAAAGAGATTACGTATTTCGCCTTCATCGTGCATGAATTCTCTTTTGTTGAAAAAAAGTTTCATCAGCACCCTATTCAACCGAGTCATAGATGATATGGATCCACTTCAACAGTACCACCATATCACTCTAATGCTTCCTCTCCTCGACGAGGAATTCGAAGGGTTTGGGATGGTTGATGACGAAGCTGTCGATGGGCTCGGCTTTGGGGTGGGGGCGTCCCGTCGTGGTGCGAAATGTCAGTTTCTGCATGAAGATGGCCAGAATCAAGAAGAGCTCCATGCGTGCCAAGGATTCGCCCAGACATTGACGCTTCCCTGTTCGAGGTGACCACGGTTTCATTCCCAGATGCAGGAAATAATATCGTATTATCAGATAAGGACACACCGAGGGCAAAGGGGAGGAAGCTGGGAACTTTTGTCTTCAAGGACCCGTCCGGATTCAGAAATCTTCCGGGATCAAACTTTTCGGGGTCCGGCCAGTACTTGGGATCCGAGTGACAAGACCAAAGGTTCGCCAGAAACACCGTCCCCTATGAAACCAGCAGGATATTAAAATGACGAACGATTCCGAGCTTCGCAAGCCACGACTTCACCTTTGGGAATCGATAGCCCGCGAAGTCGATATCGTCGGTGGCCGCATGACCCACTCCGATGGGGGTTAACCGCGCCAGGCGCTGTGCTTCCATTATGAAGGCTTCTGTGTTCGGCATCCTGTTTTGTCCGATGTGTGAAGGAATAGTAATAAAATATTATAAATCAGCACAAAAATTAAAAGGAAGTAGCATAATACACCCAGGTTAGAATGAACTGTACACAGGAGATAAGAATGAGGACGAATGGAAAGGAAATGAATTTGGCACAGAAAATAAAAACTTTCCTGCCAACGTCAAATTGGAAAGGAATCCGCCCAATGCAAACAATTATTTTAGCTTAAAGTCATCTGAAGCCGTGCAGATTGCAGTTGTGAATTATACTTAACATGGGTCATTCCATAGAAATTATCCAGGTTTAAGGACGTGCATATGGCAAAGGCACTCTGGTTCAACATTTCGGAGCTTTCGGACATCTTCGGAGCTGTCATGAATTTCGCAGGTGCGGAAACTCCCAATATGAGCTTTCTCATAAACTTGAACCAGTTCAGTTTTTCAGCTTTACGTAATTTCCTTGAACTATAATTTTTTCGGTTACGTTACGTTTTCTGTCAAACATATTGTCGCTTTTTCGCCTAACTTCATTTCACCTTCCCTTTCTGTCTCCTGTTAGAAAATAGAAAATAAAATAACCATACTTGATTAGCTGATCAGTCTGTCGCCAAACCTGTCTCGATCGTTGAGAGAAGGAAGTCTGTCGCGCCCGACGACGTCGTCAACTTCAGCCTGAAGTTTCTCCTGAATTTCAGGATGACAGAGGAGAAAAAGGACGCACCAACGGATGGTATTGGAAGTCGTCTCGCTTCCGGCGAGGAACAGATCCGAGATATTCACTCGTAATTGGAATTCTATGGGAAATGTTAGTTACAGTTGTACTCGATGGGCTCGTTAGTTGTCGCACTTGTTTCGATTGGTACCTGAGAAATTGGGATTGATTTCTCCTCGAGACTTTTGTTGTTCCATTTCGGTGAGGTAGGCGTCGATGTAATCCTTGGAACTCCCGAACGAAGACAGGTTCCTCTTGTGCACGTTCACCTCCTCCTGGCGAGAGAAGAAATTAATATGATACCGATGTACTGATATGGACTTGAGAGGAACTGGAGTGAACGGACTGGTAGTTGTAAATAAACATTTTTTTGCATAGATTTAATGATACAGAGTATGAGAAGTAGATTTTTAATCTCACATTGGAGCTTTCCGCGGGAAGTTTTTTTTTTTCTTTTCATCGTTACAATATGCTTCCTGTGGGTACTTTTCAATTGCAGGTGCCTGCTTCGGAAATAATTCTTGTAAATATTCCTGCAGGAAATACGGGAACGCCGTTCCCACTAAACCTCGTTCTTTCTTAAATGCTACTTGTAGTCGACATCCTTGCATTTACAGAAACTCTTGCCCTCCTTTGAGGACATAAAATCAACTTTTCCAATAATTATTATTATTTATTATTTTTAACTAGCAATTATCAATATGAGCAGTTGTTGTAAAATTTTGTCTAATACGTGTAGCAGCGATTGATGACAGGGTAAAATGAAAATCCAAGAATAAATGAAATTACCAAATATATTTGGGAAATGGCGGCCATGTTGCGATCTATGCGTTGACATGCTCTGTGCGCAGGCGGCCAGAAGTAGATGAGCGCAGGGACCCATTGAAAGGGCCCGAGGACGTTGGAATCGATCAGAACCTCATTGAATTTGTTTATGAAGTCCTGCATCTTCGGGTCATCGTGGGAAAATTGCTTGTCTGGGGGCGACAGCAGATATGGAATGAAAAGTTATTCTATAATTTTAAGTTTAAAAATAAGGACTTGATCTTCGAACCGGCGGTCATTTTCCATATGATGTTGAGAATGGCAAGATTGAGACGGGGGCCGAGGTCTTGTGGTTTGTGCTGATTTTCCTTGAGGAATTGGCAGAGATCGAGTGCTGCGTCTTGAATCATGGAATTCAAGGCGTCTGCTTTCCCGAATCCAAAATCCCTCAAAACCCGCATGGTGAAGCGCCGGTTCTCTTGCCACAGGCTTCCCTCCGAGCTTAAGATCCCTAAATCAGGCCGAGTGCAAAATAATAATGCACGCAGTTAAAATTTCGCCAGGTACGTATAAATTGAACTGTATTATTATGTTTCTCTGAACAGCCTCAAATACTCGGGAAATTTACTTATTCCCTGGGTTGGCAATTTTCAGCAAGTGGCCTTCTACCAATTTAATAGAAGAGGACTTATGTCTTTTTGCTGAAACCTGTTATTTCTCGGTGCTGAGACCACGAGAAAAATATTTTGCTGACCCTTTTTGGCAACCTGAGTTTTACCATTTCCATTAATTTAGTTGGGTTCGTCATTCGATAAAGTCAATTGATTAGTTTAAATCCTGATTTAAAAGTTCATTGAAATACATAACTCCCGAATCGCTGGCTTTCCCTTCTCATTTCTGATTAAATGTTTGCTTGCAGAAGGCAGATTGTCTACATGCCCCACTCACCCGTTTAGCAAAAAAAATATTTTTTTTTGGAAAAGGGAAAGCGCTGTCAGTATAGTGGAAAAAAGGAGCGAGAACCTTGTGAGGAGAGGGAATGGAAGACTACCATTTTTCGTTCGCCAAATTCGAAGGATAAACTAGGCGCCAATTATAATTTAATATTTTCCACAAGACGATGGGATGCTCTACGATTAATCGAAAAAGAATGTTGAAGCTTATTAGTATCCCTAATTTTTGGTAAATTTTGTATTATAATTTTCTCTCATTATCCTGGAAGCGGCCCACCCGAACGCCAGCTTCACAGCTGTCGATGAGTAATACCCGATTAGTGAATTGTGGAGACTGTTTTGTTTACCATTGTTTCCGAAAGAGATTTGTCGGAAGAACAAGGTATCGGGCCGTCCAGAGACGTCCATCCGTCCGAAGAAATCGCGCACCAATTCCCAGTTGCTCAGCATCACCATCTCCGTTTGAAACAAGCCGACGGTGAAGATGTCCCCGTGCTTCTTCCTCAGGGAGTCCAGTCGCTTGTGCAGGGGTCCTCCCAGGAGAAAAGGGATCGAGCCCAGAAGCGGCACGCCCCATGGACCTGTAGTGCATGCGTAGACTCACGGTTTATTCTCATCACTCGATCAGCCTTGTATATTCGAGACAGGAGAAGGGGACAGATGAGGGGGGAGAAAACAGCTGCCTTGTTTCGACAGAGACTTTTACCTAGGATGGCCCTGAAGAAAAACTATTCCTGGTAACGGTTAATGAAGCCAGTCTCGTGTTCAAGCAAATCCTGGGGCGCCTTAAGACTTCATCCAGATTTTGGTATCGGTTGGTACTTGTACGATTGGAAGTAAACTACCTTATTTTTATTCCCAGCTTGAAAGACAAGGAGGATGTGCAGAAAAACCAGCAAGCAGAAGGAAAAAATCGGATCAATGCAGAATAAGCTACCTCAGACTCAAGCAAATAACAATAGTGGGATTGTGTTGGATATGCTGGGTTGTCCCAAACGTCGGTTATCATTGGCTATCAAAAAAATATCACTAGTTGAGTCAGTTCCTCTGCACATCCCACAACGTTATAATAAAAAAATGGCCATTACTCGCCTACAAAATCGTTTCCTATGAAGGAAACCGTACGTTAGGGCTCTGGCAACCAACTTTTTGGACACCCCGTGCGTAAGCTACGCGCAGAGGGGGGAAAGGGAGGGAGGGAGAAGAGGACTGAAAACCATGTGAACTTCGCTTGCTGCGATCTTACCTGGTGGAAGTTTGGACCAAAGCAGAAGTTTCTTCACGAAAAGGTGAAGGAGATAAACGAGGACGACGGACGCGAAGACGAGAGCGGCACTCATCATCAGCCTCGCAACGCACGTGGCCTCGAGGGAGGTCTCTACCCTACTGCGAAGGAGCCAGCAGACTGCACGGGGTCGGCAAAGGATGGAGCTTGTGATGACGTCAGCGAGCACTTTCACTATAAAAGAAGGCGCCGCGACCCGATTGCGTCTCTGTTGGAGTGACGAGATCTCGTTCTCCGATCCGAGTTCGGGTTGTCGACCGCCCTTAACAGTGCTGCACGGTTTTCGATTGTTTATTTCGTTCATAACCTTAGGCTTCCAGCTCTCGTTCATTTTCATCGTCTGTTTATTACGAATAGCATTGGCAAGATTTGCACTGTCCCGTTCTACGGGTTTAATCGGACAATTCCACAGACGATACTTCTCTGAAGTCCAGGAAGGAAACTTCTGATAGCAGCCGAATTTTTTATTACTCAGCCGGAATCGCAGCACTGTGAGATCGTGCAGCTCTATCGGTTTCGCCTCCACCGTGACCAAGAATCGCCGGATCGTTATCACCAGTTTCGCTGCAGCCGAATCTGGAATTGAGAGGCTCTAGGGAAATCGGCACATATTGGTAGCGGTTTCTCATGGTGTAACCATGATAATGGAGTGGAAGCCGACAGTGGTCGATCTGACGATGCGAGAATCCAAATGAGAAACGAGGGTGGTCAACTCGTTGCACGCGGAATTTGTTTGCATGTCTGTAAATTACACGATTCCCGCGCATGAGAAGCAGTTGCGACTGACGTTATTGACAATTGTGACTGTGACGGCACTTAATCTTTCAGGTGACGTCGTTGGTGCGGCAGTTGAGTATTGATTCAGTGATTCCACGTGGGTCTTGACATTTGTCAATAACTTTAAAATTTGCATTAGCCGAACAATAATATTTACCACTTCGTATGCTGCTCCCTCCCCCCCCCTCTTCGCTAAGATAATGAAGAAAATGTAGGTCTTCTTTCGATACGAGGACCCCCCCCCCCCCCCAATTGTCGCCTCGCGCTCGGTGGGGTCGACAAGAGGCAGGCATTACGTGGTGAGTCTCTCGAGGAGTGCAACTACTTCACCCGTTGACTGCAGGTGACGCAACTCTGTGCGTCATGACTCGCCAGACCTCTGATGCATGTCTATATCGGGTTGTATCACGGTCTGCATGTTTGCAGCTGCTTCGAAGAAGTTGGACTCCACGCAGGCGTTTGCTTCCAACAATGCTACGACAACCTGCAAAACTTGGATGATGAGCTCATTCAAAGTTCCAAGTGTGTATTTATTCTTGAAACGTGGAGGAGTAACTCCTACTGGTATGTAAGATGATAGAGGAAAGCGTGAAGGTCGTAGGATGATAGTCAAGCAGGTCACTTGACAGGTGTCTCGGGGGACCTGCCGAAGTTACACGTGGCTCAAGCATCCTGCATCTCTTAAAGGTCAGCATCTCGTGGGCACTTTTGAGGTGCAACTTCGCGCATTAGCTCGAATCTCATTCCACCCCGCAATCGCACAACACTGTCGAACGGACGCGAGCGAAGGCATCGTCTGGCCCACTGGTCTGGCCTCCTTTCGCGAAAACAAGGATGGCGGGAGCGAAACCTTGCCTCGAAGATTCCAAGCTCCGTCGGTCGCACGATCGTCTAGGTGTCACTGCCCTCGCGTTGGCCCGGGAAGCGAAGTCGACCTCCTTTCTGATGCCTGATTTTCTTTCTTTCCGTTTCTCGTCGTCATTCACTGCAGGTCAGACCGAGTGCTAGTTTCGTTCAGCGATGATAAGTCAAATGAATCATCATGAATTACCGTGAATTAATGGTGAGTTGCCATTTCAACTGCAAGGTTTGGCAGAGCGGTTTCGTCTGAAATTGCATACGAATTATTCGGTGTGCAGCCGATTCATGGTGCTCAATCGATTCAAGGCCGTATTACAAATTCCTTAATAAAAAAAAAACAAATTTTTGCGGAAAATCTAGCTTAAGGGGGACAGTTAAGGAGAAAGCTATACCTTTTCTGGAAAGAAAATTGATATGAAAGAGGTGAAGATGAGCATGGCGTCTTTCCTCATTAATCTTATGTTGCGTGGCAAGAAAAAACCTAAATTGTGTCCTCTTTAAACCAGGTAATCAATAGGCTTTGGGAGCGCCTTTTACCTTTCTTCAACCCCTTCCAGGGACAAAATTCAACCGTCTCGAATTCCTCTCCGAGAGCATCAACAGGAACGAAATTCGGCATACTTCTTCCTCTCTCAATACAGAATCGCTCCAGCAGATTTGAAGCTTCGTCTCCCCCGGGGTTGTGGAGGATCACTGAATCTCCGAAAAACGAGATTCAGTGATCCTCCACAAATACCGGAATGAATTTCATTCCGGTATTTTTTTTTCTCCCATCCTAGGTAGTTTTCCTGGGAAGTTTTCGGAGGAAAAAGACCAACTAAACGAAAGATAGAACTTGTAGGTGATAAAATGTGTCATTTTTGTTGCTTCCAGTGCACCATTTCGCCATCAAAAAAATGAAATCAGCGTTAATTTAGACTTAGCGTGATGGCCTCGGTCCCGTCCTCCAGTGTTGCCGGATATCGTGCCTTAGTCACGCCAGATCCATGACTTCTTCGGCCTCAGTATCGATCTCTGTATCTTCTGTTTTTTTTTTATGTATGAGATAATTTTGTGTCGAATTCATGAGATGAGCCGAGATTGAAATGGTGGCCAACAGTGGCCGATCGATTTGGCGGGAAGTCGAAGTACTAGACTGATCGAAAAGGAACGGAACTTTGACTGTAGCTCATGTATTGCTCGTCGAAATCATTGGCCACCAGGCAGGCGTCAACTATGCTCACTTTGCGATTCATGATAAATGTTTCATTGGTCTTTCGTTTAAGGAACTCTGTTGGTGATAAAAAGAAATTGCCACAGTCAGTAACTTTTCGGCGGATTTGATTAGAATCTCATTCGGACATCCATAAATTAACAGAATGGCGCCCACGTTGCATTCCATGCGTTCTAGAGGCCTTTCTTCTCGGAACTCGCCGAGACGGCTCGAGGGACTCTAGGTAGGCCTAACGTTCCTCATCCGCCCGGAAATGATTCATGAAACTCGAGAATGACCTCTAATTGGTCTAACGTTACACGTACTCTTTTAAAAGGGCCATGAGAGACTGAATTGGCCTGGGATTGGCCAATGTTACACGTCCTCGGCGAGATGTCTCGAAGACCAGGGATTAATCCTTATAGGCCCAATCGGCCCAGAAAATCGAGGATTGAATTTCGTTTGAATGAAAAAAGGTAGGCCTAAGCCTGACCCGACGACATTCCATCGGTTCCTAACATTAGTGAGTTCCGTAGAGAGGTTGAGGAGGTTGAGGAGGTTGAGGTTGCCTTTGAAAAATGGTTTTCACATTACTACATATTTTCGTTTTCGTTGAGCTGCTAGAAGATTCTTCGGGTGGCATGATGGAGTGAAGGATTTCGTCTTTTGTCCGATCTACCGTCGTCGTGGAACAGCTGAAACTCATCATTGATTCCTTGGCTTGATAGGTCAATTTCTCGCGAATCATTTGAAGAGGGAAAACTTCAACAGCTGCAATCGATCGTTTTTCTGTTCCCTCTGTCGATTGGGTCCAAGAAACCTGAAAACACAATATGTCTCAACTCGGATGCTCTGGAATCGTTAGAAATACGTTTACTAGTGGAAATGTGGTAATTGTTCAAGATTTGTCAGTTCCTTCAACCTCGTTTCTCATCTCCAGGCGCTCTTCTCTCCGTCGAGGTCCATATCGCCTTTCTTTTCAAGACTTAATTTCACTTCCTCAACGTCGTCAACTTCGGCCTGAAAAGAATTCCAGGGTGACAAGAAAAAAAGGAATGATTGTGTCGTCTCGCTTACGGGATTCGAAATTGGAATTCCGCGGGGAATGCAAATAACTCAATCGGTTCTCATCCGACGTATTTCCATTTCGCTTATCACATTTGCTAATCACATTTGCAGCACCCAACATATTGAGATCGATATTTCTCCTCGATACTTCTGTCGCGCCCCGTCGATGAGATTTCTCTTTTGTTCCACTTTCCTAATGAAATTAAAAAGTGCAAATTTGAAGCAACGAGTGCAAATGACAGAAGGAAAAATTAATTCAACGCTGCAATCAGGTAACCTACCGGCAAATAAGGACCTACCGGCTCCTTCCCACTTTCCTGGGCAATAACATCTGGAAAAGCAGGTAAATAGGAAGTTTTGCTGCGGTTAGAAGCCAACTTTCTGTATCCCAAGCACCGATAACAGATTGAGTACAATCTATACTTAAATAGGCGATCCTTTGACCTTGGTGCAAAAGAGGCCACGCCGCAAATGGCGCAACGTTTCTAGTATTTGCATTGCAGGAATTATGCCAAAAACCCTATGATGGGAAGTCTAATACCATTTTTACGCATTGATTTGAACGAAAATTCCTGGAAGGGTCTCATGGCATCATCCAGGGAAAAATGCCTCCCTCCTATAGTGAGTCCATAATGGAAAGGCCTCCCCGCACCGAGCTGGGCGGCGAGTCTCTCCAGGCACCCCCGCCATCTTAGGACTGGAGTTGCCCTTATTAGTTAACAGCAGGCCCATAGAGAAGGGGAGGGCAAATGAGGCAATCAGCCCCATGCCCGGGGACCCCTCACGCCGACATCCACCCCCATCACTCCCTCGTGCGACTCCAGTCCCAAGATGGTGGAGGCACTTGTATCTCTCGAGGCAGCGAAGACCTCTCCAGAGACTATGTACACCCTATGCTCCCTCCCTTTTCTGTTGAGGGACTTTCTCTGAGAGGCCAAGGCGCTCACTGGGGATGGCTTATGACGATTTATGCGCCATCTGTCATTTATAACGGAAACTTTGTTGTAGTAAATGCCACATGGCTGGCCTGCAATTCATTTATTCCATTTCAGTTTTTCAACAAAAACTCTTTACGTCGTACCCCAGTCGGATCGAGCCCATGGAGTTTTACTTTTTTTTCGATTTTTATTTAATGGTACCCATGCCGTTTGGTGGACGCGATCGACCATTTTTTAAACATCTATTCGAAACTTGGGAAAAGGGTAAAGGGTAAATCCTCAGATGCAAAGGAAGGATTTTTTCGATCTTATTTCATAGGGATCCTATTACATATTGCAAAAGAGGCAATGTGACAAATGGCGCAAAGTTTATCATCCACTTGTATCCAAACTTTTTGGCCCTCAAGTCGCACGGACTGCGGGGGTCATGCCTCTACGTACTCCAGTTTTTTTTAATTTAAATATGTTTCTTTTCCTAAATTTTCCGAAATGTTTTATATGCTTCCATATATTCTATTCTATATATTTGTTCTATATGTTTCACCTCCACTGCTGGAGGCAACAGGAAAAAGAAAAAAGTAAAAAATCGAAGATAGGAGAAAGGACCAGATAGAAATAGTGGCGCATATACTGTAGAGGAGTGAGATCCCTCTGCATTATCTTTTTTTCCACCCAGGGAAGTCCGCGATTTCCCTTGCTTTGACACTCGATCCTCGAAATCGCATCGCCTCATGGAGTCCTCATGGCATCCCCCCTTTCCTGCCCCAGAGTCTCGTGTTGGCCTCGAAGGAAGACGCCCGGCCCCCCTCGGGCTCAGTCGAGCGAGAGGCGAAGGAAGGTGACGACGCGGCTCCCAGCGGGCCGAGGACGAAGTGAGTGCCTGCTTCTTTTTCGTAGGGCAGGGAAAATCTGGGAATTCCGCAACAAAATTGGAGGGTAATTTCTTAACATGTCACTTTTCCGCTGCATTATTTTCCTGTTTTGGGTTGTAACGAAAGTTTTTGTGCATAAATACTAGTACAAAATTTATTTAACAATGAATTAAACAAGAATAAAAAGATTACTCTTTGAAATAAAGCCCATCATTTTTGATGACTATGACCCATCTTTCCGCAAGTAGTCCAATTTGGTGGCAGTACCAATCCAAAAAAATTTTATTTAGAAAATGATGCTGAAACAAATTTTGTATTTATGCACAAAAACTTTCGTTACAACCTAGTAAGAACCTCAATCCATACCCTATATAGTTTAATGCAACTAATGCAACGAGTAATGCAACAGGGTCCTGTTCACACAGACGCCGTCAGCTCCAGAGAAACAAGGGAACAAGTAGTTGGGATCCAAAGTCGTTGCGGAATTCACAGATTTGCCCTATGTTGGAAGAATATGGCCCCTGACGAGATTTCCCCCCCCAAAAGCCTCAAGTATTAAGGAATCACGGGCGAATTTCGTCAATAGGACAAAACGTAATGCATCGGGATACATGAATGTCTTGAAATTCAGTTGCATGCGATTGCTCAACTCAGGACTCTGTAGCTCGTATGAACCTAGGACAACTTAAACACATTTCATAATGGCAATGCAGAAACCAATTGCTCGACGGTATTCCACGGTCCCTCCAGAATCGCATCGAAGTTCCATCTGAATGGAAACGACCGGAATCGACCTCGGCGTTGAAGCCGATGGAAATTCAGGGCCGACGTGAATTGCACGCTTGAAGTCTTCTTGCTGAAATTTGCATGGGAATAACTGCCATTTCGGCTCGAATCGGGTTCAATTCAGACGGTGAAAATTTATTATTTCTTCATGATCGTAGCTTGACACGGAGTGGGGCAGAAAAACGCGGGGAATCGACAATGTCCTGAGAAGTCCCTGAAAATTCAATTTAAATAATTTAAAGACAAGGACTCTTTAAAGGGCATCAGTCGCAAAAGTCACTTTTGCCAGGATTTTCTGGCTCTGTTTTATGGAAAAAAAAATCGAAATAATCAGTCATCATTCCTTGCTAATTGCATGAAACTACCATTAACTTTTGAAGTGGTGAAGTGAATTATGGGACACCCTGGATGCAGACAAGAGTGCACCCTCGCGAATAAAGCGCAACTAGTGGCTTAATCCCGTGCATAATCCATTTTGTCGATTCGAATAAAAGGCCAGGTTTGTACTCCTGAGAAAACGGTGACTGCATTTTTTATTTTAAAAAAGAAACGAAGCGAAATTTCTTAAATGGGGGAAACTTAAAGTGAAGTAAGCGATATCTGAAAAGCAAAAGAAAAATTAAACTAATTTCGGGGCCCAGCCCAGATTTCACTTCGTGGACACGCGAAGGGGAAATTCCGTAACCCTTTGAAAGCGTCGCATGTCCAGGACGCTTCCGTGACGATTCTACTCAACGATACGCGACTAGCGTGACCACCTGCAGCCTCCCTCATCTTCTATTTTCTTGCCTCACTCTTGAGTCGTTTCATTCGATAATATCTCGCCCCCCCCCCCCGCCCCCTTTGTAATCCCCCGTTGGAGTCATTCAGTCGGACATCATCCAGAGACGTTCATCCGTCCGAAGAAATCGCGCACCGATTCCCAGATGCTCAGCATGGCGACCTATTTTGAAACAAGCCGAGGGGGAAGATGTCCTTGTACTTCTTCCTCATGGAGTCCAGTTTCTTGTGGAGGGGCCCTCCCAAGACTGTAGGGACCGAACCCAGAAATGATACGCCCCATGGACCTACAATAGGCACGTAAAATAATGCAAAAGGCATACTCCTCATCGTGAACTTGCTTTTGCTAGTTGAGAAAATTACCTGGTGGGAGTTTGGACCAAACGAGGAGTTTTTTCACGAAAGCATCCAGGAGATGCACGATGATGATGGATGTTAATACATTGTCTTCTGTCTCGTGATACATGGGATACTGAAGGCGAATGAAATCTGAAAGGATAGGCGAAGGAGGGTGATGACGTCGTTTCCAATGGAATGAGTGGAACGATGACGAGCTTCAACGAAGTGAGAACGTGGTTTCCTTTCATATCGCCCTCGTGGGCATTGGCGTCTTCGATAAAGAAATTATTTGAAGAACTTCTCGTTACATCTTTACGTCGTGCGAGTACTTCGTAGCCGGCTTGAAAATTTTACTGCAGAGAAGAGAAGAAGCGGAATCGCACGATTGCAGTATGGCATACATTTCAGTACCTTTCAGTACTGACAAATCTGCCATTTCAGTACTGGTTTTGTCTCTTAGACTCCAAAAGGAATTTACTCTCATCTCGAAAAAATTCCCCGGGAATCCTATTTGTGCAAAGCCGCTCGGGATATTCAATTGATCATATGATGTGGCGCCCTTCCCATCGAACCAAACGATCATGAAATGCGAGAACAGGAAGCAGCAAAAATAGAGAGGGGGAAAATGTTCGGTTCTCGGAAACAGAGTAGCTGCGTGATCCACTGGAATATTCAAGAACAAAAATTGGAAACTAAATGAGTGAAGCATCTTTTTCAAAAGTTGATTCGAATAGTGAGCTTAGATTCTCCGGCTAGCGCGGATGATAATGGTTTTTTCAATATTACACCTATTTCTGGTTTTAAAAGGGACGGAGTCTCTCGCATTTTAAAAATTATTTTAAACTATCACTCAGCAGCCGCGAAGGAGTTATACTATTCCAAGGGAAAATAAATTTCGGTGGGGTATACCGGCTGGGAAAGAGGAAATCTCCCTAAATCCTGAACCCCATTCAATGCAGAGCTACACGTGCCCCTCCTGAATTTTCGTCATTGCAAGAAAGGAGAATGAGACAGGGTCTAAGAGGGGAGACAGGAAAGGGAAAGAGAGCAAAGAGGGGATGGAACAGCCTCGGGGCTAGAGGATCTTTTCGGGCGACGGTATTCTCTTTTACTTACTTCCCCCACTTGTTATTTTAATTAAAGAATATTGTAAATGTATAATATTAACTCGTTCAGCCGAAGTACTGATAAAGTGCTTCCTCGTCACCATATGCGTCACAGTTGTTCATCAGGCCATATGTATTTGTAGCTGCTGACAGATCCTTCAAACGGTTTTAAATTGGGTAACTTTTGGGTAATTAGCTGCACAAAGCAGTTAATTCATGTTAGTGACAGAGATTGCCACACTGCTGAAGCTTAGAATAGTACTTTATTTATACTTGGCAGCTAATTCAAGGCAAGGAAAATCGGATTACAGGAAAACCAGGTTGACAGAAAAGCCAGATTTCTCCGTAGATGCACGAGGAATAATTCATTCAACGGGTCTAGAACAATCAAGAGCGCCAACTTTTTCTCGGTATTTATCGATTTGCCCGCTAGATGAACGTAATTAACTTATTATTTGTGGTTCATACTCATGGTGAACTGCTTGAAATAAGTAATGATTCCTGTCTCTAGCATTACAAATTTTCCTTTCGGAGGCAGGCGACTGCAGAAGTTGATAACTATGCAAAGTCCACACATGCCCAGTGATATGGGCAAATCTTTTCCTAGCTTTCCGAATCCAACTCAGCGACGGCTTGCGGGAGAGAGATAATAAGAGCACATCGCATACTGTTTTCGCGAAAGTAATACCAGTGCTGTTGAATATGGAAAGTAGTCAATTGTGATATCCGCGAAATGAGTTGATTGCAAAAAAGTATTGAACGTCAATCTTATTCCTGCGTGTTGCATATCGATCATTGCCATTCTACTGCTTTCTCTCCTCGATGAGGAATTGGAAAGGCTTGGGAGAATTGACGATGAAGCTGTCGACGCTCTCGGCTTTGGGATGAGGACGTCCCGTCGTAGTCAGAAATGTGAGTTTTTGCATGAAGATGGTCACGAACAAGAAAAGCTCCATGCGTGCCAAGGATTCGCCCAGACATTGACGCTTCCCTGTTACACGAGGAGCATAGTAAGGGAACCATACTGTATCTTGAGCCATGACCTTCATCGGATAGAAAAGGACATACCAAGAGCAAAAGGGAGAAAGCTGGGAACTTTGGTCTTCAAAGATCCGTCGGAATTGAGAAATCTTCTATAGTAAGGGAACCATACTGTATCTTGAGCCATGACCTTCATCGGATAGAAAAGGACATACCAAGAGCAAAAGGGAGAAAGCTGGGAACTTTGGTCTTCAAAGATCCGTCGGAATTGAGAAATCTTCCAGGATCAAACTTTTCCGGGTCCGGCCAGTACTTGGGATCCGAGTGACAAGACCATATGTTCGCCATGAACACCGTCCCCTATTAAACCGGCAGCATCATCAAACCTCCTGAGTCAAGTGGTTCCACTGCTGTGCATCCAAAGCAATGAGATAACCTTGGGAAATCGGTATCCGCCGAATTCTACGTCTTCAGTGGCAGCATGACCCACGCCGAGTGGGATCAGGCGCGCCAAGCGCTGCACTTCCATTATGAATGCTTCAGTGTAGGGCAATCTGTTGCGTTCGTCGGGAGGAAAAAGCCATGAAAAGTGATAAGGAAAATTCGCCCATAATTAGATGAGAGGAAATTATGCATAGAAGAACTTGTAAATTGCAACGAAGAGGCACCAGGCAAGATGAAGCTGACAAAATTATGAACATGAACCGGTTTCTATGAGAGAAAACCTTTAAAATGGGGAAGAGATTCCAGCCCAAAACGTCTAGTTGAAGCGATTATAAAAGCATAAATGAAAGCGCCTCGAAGCTCTTAAGACTACTCGGGAAGTCTCCTTTGAGAGTTCCACATTATTGTCTCAAGTCGTTCTTACGTCGGTTGCCACTGCAACCCTGGGAAAAATTTTCCCATGACCACCCTTTACTTCGCTTCATGTTTTCTCATCTACGAACAGAAAAAAGCAACATGAATTCTGATGATCAGTCTGGCGGCAAACCTGTCTCGGTCGTTGAGCGAAGGAAGCCTATCGCGCCCGACGACGTTGTCTACTTCAGCCTGAAGTTTGTGTTGAATTTCAGGGTGACAGAGGAGGAAAAGAATGCACCAGCGAGTTGTGTTTGACGTCGTCTCGCTTCCAGCGATGAACAGATCTGAGATGTTCACTCGCAATTGGAATTCTATGGAGAATAGAGATCACTCAGATTGTGATCATTCCACGCTTCTCATGTACTTGTAAATATTTTTGCTCTTGCTAACTGCAGTCTTGGTACCAGAGAAATTTGGATTGATTTCTCCTCGAGACTTCTGTTGTTCCATTTCAGTAAGGTAGGCGTCGATGTAGTCCTTGGCTCCGCCGGACGAAGGCAGATTCCGCTTGTGTTGCTTCAATTCATCCTACGAATTTGATAGGTTCAGAAGTTGCAAGGCACGTTGTAATTAGTCATTATTGTCTTAAGATGTAATGCACCGAAAATTTCGAAGATAATGCCAGGAAATCAAGTGACTGAGATCCCCCTATCCTGTTTCTGAAGCATGCAGAACAGGAGCTATTGTCAAAATTTTGAGAAGACATTACTAGAGGTGATACATGGAAAATATTCTATTAAATTCTCTGGTGAAACCAAGGAATTTTTTTGGAGCCACTAGGTTGAACCTTTAAGAATTGTTCAATCAAAATTTTTTTCTTCCTTCAAGCAACCAAATTTAAATAAGTGAAGTACGTAATGTGATAAAAAGTTATTAGCTTGAGGCACTTTCAGTTGCAATGCACTATTCTTAATTTTTCCAAGAGGCCTTTGATGGCGACTGGCAAAATTATATCTAATTTGCTGAAAATGGACAGTTTCCAAGTAATTTTTTTCCGACGGAGTTGTGTTAAAATTGAGATGAATGCTGTGATGAATTTTCTAGCCTCCGCAGAGACAATATCCAAGAAGATCTATTTAGGGGAGGGTCAGGTGAACTCTAACCTCTCAGCTGCCAGGAGATCACCTCCTCAGAGACCAGAAAATTCATCGCAGCCTACCTCTTGTTTTTAACACCCTTCCTGTAGACCCGTTTGTAGCATGTCGTAGAAAATTTGATGGAAGCTACCCCTTTTAAGCTAATGAGATGAAATTTGTCCATCACCATCAAAGGCATCTATCTTCTCATGGAAAAAAGTATTGTTCATTGCAACTGAAAGTGCCTCAGGCTTAGAACTCTTTGGTCTCCCCACATAATATGGGTATATTTATATGCTTTTAAAATCATACAAATCCAATTAATGTATGATGGTGATTGATTTAACCTAACCTCATCCGGGTAACGTTGTTTCAAGTTCTCCTGGATCCTTCGTCAAAACTTAGTTGATACTGAATTCAGTGAAATACTGAATTCATACATTACCACCTCTACAGACATGTCTTTTATTATATTTTATGTCTCTGGAAGTAGAGCCCAATGGGCTAATGAATAAATACAAGTGTAATAACGAACAAGCTCACCAAGAATATTTTACTAATGGCAGCCATATTGCTATCGATGCGTCGACAGGCCCGAAGTGCAGGTGGCCAGAGGTAGATGAACGCTGGGACCCATTGAATCGGTCCGACGAGGGCGGAGTCGCTCACCACTTGCATGAATCGATTCATGAAGTCCTGCATCTTCGGGTCATCGTGCGAGAATGTTTTGTCTGAGGGCCACATACGGAAATGGCATGACAACAATATTATCTAACATTTAGATTAAAGTATCTGTAGATTTGATCTTCAGACCGGCAGCCATTTTCCATATGATGTTGAGAACGGCAAGATTGAGACGAGGGCCAAAGTCTTGTGGCTTGTCCTTGTTCTCTTTGAAATATTGGCAGAGACCGAGTGCCGCGTCCTGAATCATGGAATCCAAGGCAGCCGTCTTTCCGAATCCGAAATCCCTCAAAACCCGCATGGTGAAGCGACGGTTGTCTTGCCACAGGCTACCTCCCGAGCATATGATGCCTAAGCCATGCCAAACGCATATAAATGAATTCATGAAAGCATTGACAATGCGACGATAAACGCGACTATCAAGCATCAACGTTAATATCCTTAACTGTAAATTCACTAACGCCATCTCTATTGAAGTCTTAGATTGAATTTTAATCGGACGAGATTTATCCCATTAGTTCGACAACGGTTTTTCTTGCATACAAAATAATGAACCTCATAGCCTTACGTCATGAAGCTTGCGAATAGCACTGTTCAAGTTGCGTGAGTAGCACTTATAAGTTGCCCTAAGTTCCATGAATTAGCCGTTTGCTTAGATTTCCCTTTCCCCTTAAGGTAATACCATGTTGCCTCTCGGCAGCATCGTAATTTACAGATCTCGACTATTAGGCAGATTTTAAAACTGATCGTTCCTGTTGATACAATAGTCGGGAGAGTGTATCATGAGGGGGAGTTTCCGCGAGTCCAAGTTCGATAGGGGGGTTCCAAAGTTCGATTGCCCATGTTCCTAATTTGAAAATATATCTTGATTTTTCGTTGTAACTATGCCGTTTGTATGAGAAGTGACAAGACTTAAGCGTAAGACATGACTTAGCATCATGACGCAGAAATTATATATATAACAAAAAAATCTGCTGGAGTCACGTTTGGAAGAAACGAATAGCCTTGAATTGGAAGAATACAAAATGTGAATCAGACCAAGAAATTGTTTGCAGTGTAAGCGGTGTTTTCCAGAGTAGAAGGTAAAGAGAAAATTAAAATAAGCTGAGCAAGTCCAGTGCAGTAGTGGGCCTCCTTTCGGTTAAATGGACCCTCGTTTTGTCACCTTATTGAACAAAATGCTATATCTTTCCGGTCCACGGTCACCAGAAAATTCATTTCTTAGTTAGATTTGGTAAACACAGACAGACGGTGCCTATGAGATGATGACGTGAGGATTGAGGGTTGCGCGTGGTGACTGGATCCATCGTCACGAAGACTGGTAGAGAACTGACAGCTCTGATTGCCGACAGACACAGCGGCCAAGGTCTGGGTCATACTGTTATGCATGACGTGGTCCAGATCCTCAAGGGCTCATGGAAGGGCTCAAGAAAGCAGATTGTTTCGCTGTGCCCCGAATGAATTCTTGATTTACCTAAGGTCTGTTTCATGTGGGGTGAGTTCAATCATTTTTCATAAGTCTGTTACCGATTTCGGTAAGGGTCTCGAACACCATATCGAAATTAAGAACATGAGGATGTATTACTAATTGTTCTCCTACAAGGGTTGCACGACTCCAGCTCAGGAAATATGGGGTATTCCCGATTCTCGGGCCGCATTTGCCACGTGATTGCCTTATCCCTTTCCTCATTGATCCGACGACATGGCCAGTAATTATTGTCAATATCATGACCTATGGCACTAAGATATGGGAATCGAACGTATACCATTGTCTGAGTACAGTGCGTGTTGGTACTTACTGATTAATAGGAATGCATAGATATGTGGATGATAAGGGGGAGTATGTTGATGGGGTACAAACATATGCAGTTCAAAATATTAGTGTTGTAAATAATGAAACGTTTTTCAAATCTTGTAGATTCCCCCTCTCGTGTAATTCTGTTTCTCCAGGCTGCTTCTGATAGAGATAATATATTTATGCCAAAGATTAGCTATCTACTCTACCAAGGTCAATAGCCTCTAGATGATAGCTTAAAGTGGAAGATAAAAGTACTGGTGGTCGATAAAGACTGTTGCCGACATATTTTTTCACTGTGGCATACCGAGAGAGCTTAAAAAATGTTTAATACTTACAATTTTAATATCCAAATTATTTTTCTTATTCAGTTTTTTTTTTCATATAAATTTTTAAAATCTCTACTTCTTTCGTATTCTGGAATAAGCGGGACCAAAATTCGGTTTAAAATTTGATGAACATACAAGTTTGACACGAAGGCCGTTCTTATATGTACCGTTATTTCCGAAAGAGATTTGTCGAAAGGCCACCGCATCAGGTCTGCCAGAGAATTCTGGTCGTCCGAAGAAGTCGCGCACCAATTCCCAGTTACCAAGCATGACAACCTGCTTGTGAAACAAGCTGACGGTGAGGATGTCCCCGTACTTCTTCCTCAAAGAGTCCAGTTTCTTGTGGAGGGGCCCTCCCAAGAGAAAGGGGACCGAGCCCAGAAATGGTACGCCCCATGGACCTACAATAGGCACAGAGAATAATGCAATAGGCATTTTCCTTGTCGTATTGCTCATAGTGAATTTGTTTATGCTGGTTGAGAAAATTACCTGGTGGGAGTTTGGACCAAACAAGGAGCTTTTTCACGAAGTCGTGCAAGAGATACACGATGATGATGGACACGAATATGAGAGTGAGACTCATCGTTATCCGTCTCACAGCGCGTGGAAAACTGGAGAAGGCTTTCCCACGACTGTGCCTCTTCAATGTTTATAGCTCTGTTGTCATAGGCTTTAATAAACAATCTGTTTTCCTTAGCTACAAAATGGCGTCACATAGAATACTTACGCCATGCATATTGAAACGGATCGGAACAGAAGGCAGTCTGAATCGATGCTTCGATCCATTAACCTTGCCTAAATGAGGCAACGAGGAATAAATGGAGCCATCTCTTCCTGGTTTTATAGACAATGGTCCTCAGCACTGCTTCGAAGTGCGCCGTCCCAGACCAGCGCCCGTCTGAGGATCACTCCGACCTCGATCAGGCGAATGAAGATAGAATGTGCAGTTCGGTCTCCTTCTTCTCACACCAAGGGCAGACGGAAATCCCTCCTACTCCTGTCTTTGTTTGCCACTTCCAGGTCCCTAACCTTAGCAGAGCAAAACCCCGTCTGTATCCTTTGTATCTTTCTAGATATTGTTCCGGACCAAAGCAGGTCTTCATTCTTTGCAGTATATTCAATGTTGGTTTAACTTCTATTTTTGCTCGTTGCTGCTGGAAGCTGATATCCATGCATCATCTACTTTTGCATTCCGTTAAAAACCAATTTCCTCCTGGTCCGAAATGCCACACATACGAGAATCCTAGCCGATCTAATATTCCTTTTATATATTTTTCCCAAGAGTCTTGGTTGCCCTATGCCCACTTTTTTTGCAACTCGTAACATTCTTTAACCATGGGGTGAGTATGAGATCTGACCCTAATCCAGTATTTGACCATCCTCCACCACTGTATGGACCTCATGTCACCTCTTCCGTGTTCGAGGAGTATGGCTGCGTTCGGGGTGCCTCTACTCACACCCGTAATACTCTTCAAGAAGGAAGTTTGCAGCTTTTATATTTCTTCGTGTTCCCGAGATCCCCTAATTTCCGTTCCATATAAAACTGTGCTGGTGACAAGGGTGTCGAACAGCATACGTGCGAGACTACATGGACTATTTGGATTTTTCTTTGCAAAGGTATTCAAGGAGTGGAGTGCTCCCTTACCTTTATTTTTCACATGACCGATGTGTTTGTTCCATTTCCCTGTGTGAGAGAGGATGATTCCTAAGTACGAGAATGAAAGTACTACTTCCAATGGCTCCTTACTGATGCCTTGTTACATAAGAGTATGCCTAGATCGTGGTCTGCAGGTATACAGAGACTAGGTCTAAGTTGAGGTCTGTAGGTATGACCCGGGAAAGATCACACCGACTTCTATTTGCAGGCGTTAGTTTTCGCTCTTTTCGACTTCGTTTCACAAGTGCGTGACAAATTTTAATATGTGGAGGTAAGTACTTGCTTCGTGTACACACTCGCTTGATTTTTGTAAGCATGGACCTTCTGGCAAGAACTTGCCTTGCATATCACGGCCTTATGCTCCTGGAGAGGAGAGGAAGGTGTTTACCCAATAAAGCCTGGGTAAGGCGCGGTTTGAGATAGTCTATGTATCGGGAAAAAGCCCACTTTCAGGATGCACAGCATAGGGGAAGCTAATCCTTTTTCATCCTTTTAACCCCTTGATCCCACCAGGGGCCTGTTCCTCCTCGCCTCTGCCAACCTTGAATATAAATCTAAATCTAAAGGGTCAGGGTGAAGAATAGCCTTTTTGCTTTTAGGCTGTTTTCTGACTGCTTTCAGACTGTTTTCTGACTGTTTTTAGATTTAGATTTAAGTTTAGCAGAGGAGAGGAACAGGGTATTGGACATTTTCCTGCCCTCATCCACCAAAAGTTTGTATTCCTCCCTCGAATTCAATGTTTTTTCATTGAATTCGAGTGCATAGTTAAGTGGAACAGGAGTAAATAATAAAAATATATTTTGCTTCTGCTAAGCTTCTTCTTTTTGTATGGCGTGTTTTTTTGTGGGCCCGGACAAGGGCCATTTGATGGAAGGTGGCTGTCGCTCATATGACGGGGAGGTCGGTATTTCGAGTATTTGACGTTCGATCGCCTATGTGATGACATTCCTTGTGTACCACGTTACAGGTTGGGCCGCGAAATTCTTGTCTTTGCAAGAACGAGAATGAGATAGAGTTGAATGTTCTGGAACACTCTGCAGTAAGGGGCTAAAATGGGGTAAATGATTCACATTCCGGTTAATTAATGTTTGTGACAGAGATTGCGCCATTGTTGAAGCTAAGAATAGTACTTTATTTGTATTTGACAGCAGAATCAAGGCGAGGAAAGTCAGTTACAGGGAAAACAGAAAGACAGATTTCACCATAAAAGCACAAAAAATAATCAATTGAATGAGTCTAGAGAAATATGAAACCCTAACTATTCCCCGGTATTTATCGATTCACCTGCAGGATGAACGTAGTGAACTTATTAATTGTCCACGCTTATCGTGGTCTGCTTGAGATAAGTAATGATTCCTGTCTCTAGCATTTCCAAATTTTTTCTTCCGAAGGCAGGTGGCTGCAGAAGATGAGAGCTATAAAATGTCATTACACACGTGCCCAGTGATATTGACGAGTCGCTTTCCTAATTTAACTGAGCGACAAATTAGGGAGAGAGATAATGAGAGCACATTGCAAACTGTATCCGCGAGTATAATACCAATGATTTCGAACATAGAAATCAATCAATCGTGATTTCCACGAAATGAGTTGATTGCAAAGAAGTATTGAACATCAATCTTATTCCTGCGTGTTGCATATCAATCATTCCCATTCTACTACTTTCTCTCCTCGACGAGGAATTGGAAAGGCTTGGGAGAATTGATGATGAAGCTGTCGACGCTCTCGGCTTTTGGATGAGGATGTCCCGTCGTAGTCAGAAATGTGAGTTTTTGCATGAAGATGGTCACGAACAAGAAAAGCTCCATGCGTGCCAAGGATTCACCCAGACATTGACGCTTCCCTGTTACACGAGAATAGTAAGGGAACCATACTGTATCTTGAGCCATGACCTTCATCGGATAGAAAAGGACATACCAAGAGCAAAAGGGAGAAAGCTGGGAACTTTGGTCTTCAAAGATCCGTCGGAATTGAGAAATCTTCCAGGATCAAACTTTTCTGGGTCCGGCCAGTAATTGGGATCCGAGTGACAAGACCATATGTTCGCCATGAACACCGTCCCCTATTAAACCGGCAGCATCATCAAACCTCCTGAAACAAGTGGCTCCACTGCTGCGCATCCAAAGCAATGAGATAACCTTGGGAAATCGGTATCCGCCGAATTCCACGTCTTCAGTGGCAGCATGACCCACGCCGAGTGGGACCAGGCGCGCCAGGCGCTGCACTTCCATTATGAATGCTTCAGTGTAGGGCATTCTGTTCCGTTCGTCGAGAGGAGGAAGTGAAAATAAAATTTGTACGCCATTACGTGAGGTGTAAATATGGAGAAAAAATGTAAATTGCTCCGAATTGGAACAAAGCAAAATGACGGTAACAAAAATTATGAACATGAACCTGTTTCTCTGAGACAAAACCTTTAAAGGGAGACATGCATCAGATCCCTTTAACTTAGTCTGATCTCACAATGGTCCTCTATGTGAATTCATTTGAAGGAGATTATCTTGTTCCCATAGACGCCCATGGTGAAACCAGGCCAGTTTAAAGTTAAACGGATCTTGTGCATGTAGCTCAAAATGGGAAATAGGCTGTATCCCAACTGGAGGGGCCACACCTTAACGACCTGGGCTTAGCCGAGCTTTTCGTCTCGAGGGGGAGGGGGATGTCGGGGATTTAATAATCCTGCCCCCGGACTTTCGGATAGAGCCCTATATCTGAACCTGATATGACATACTGAAATGGAGTTGCGAAGTCTCTTGTTAGTTTAGTTTAGTTTAGTTTCGACTTAAGTTAGTTCATTTCGGTTTGTTTATTTTTTTTTGGTTCATAATATCCTAACAATGAAGTGAACCCTTTCTGGACGAGGGGCACTTTGAGCCTCTTGCGAGCAGGCAGGAATTAGCGCCGAACCTTTTCTCTGTGGCCTCTCTAGTTGTGGAACAGCCATAAAGGCTTCAATAAAAGCACTTCAAAGACTACTTGGGAAGTTTCCTTTGAAAGTTCCACGTCAGAGTCTTGAGTCAATCTTACTCAATCTTACGTCAGTTGGCAATATCTTGAAAGAAAAAAGATTTCAGTGACCTCTCCATTTTTTCTCATCTAGGAGCAGAAAAAAAAGTACTGTATTGGGAGGGTCAATATGAGATCAAACCTGTCTCGATCGTTGAGGGAAGGAAGTCTGTCGCGTCCGACAACGTTGTCAACTTCTTCTTGTATGTACCGTTATTTCCAAAAGAGATTTGTCGAAAGGCCACCGCATCAGGTCTGCCAGAGAATTCTGGCCGTCCGAAGAAATCGCGCACCAATTCCCAGTTGCCGAGAATGACAACCTGCTTGTGAAACAAGCTGACGGTGACGATGTCCCCGTACTTCTTCCTCAAAGAGTCCAGTTTCTTGTGGAGGGGCCCTCCCAAGAGAAAGGGGACCGAGCCCAGAAATGGTACGCCCCATGGACCTACAATAGGCACAGAGAATAATGCAATAGGCATTTTCCTTGCCGTATTGCTCATAGTGAATTTGTTTATGCTGGTTGAGAAAATTACCTGGTGGGAGTTTGAACCAAACGAGGAGTTTTTTCACGAAGTCGTGCAGGAGATACACGATGATGATGGACGCGAATATGAGAGTCACACTCATCCTTATCTGTCTCGCATCACATGGGGCACTGAGGAAAGAATTCCCACGACCGGGCCTCTTCAGTGTTGCCACAGGCTTTGATAATAAAAAAACTGGATTCTTGAGAGATAAAATGGTGTCCTATAGAACAATTGCACCATGCATATTGAAACGAATGGAAATAGAAGGCAGTAAGAATCGATGCTTCGATCCATTGACCTTGCCAGAATAAGGCAACGAGGATTAAATGGAGCCATCTCTTCCTGGCTTTGTAGACAGTGGTCCCCAAAACTGCTTCTTTTTGCGCTGTACCTAACCAGCGCACTGCTGAGGTTCTCCTTGATTTCGATCAGACGTTCAGTATCGTTGTTCGAGGTACTGTACGACTTTTTCTTGGGATGACATAACTGTTTTGGGGGTGGCGGTTAGAAATATATATAACATATTCGGCGGAACTCCTTCCGCCAACTGCGTTCGTACCTGGCTCAAGCAAGATACAAAATTATGTCCTTTCTTGCGATACCAAACTCGAGATTGGCACTCAATGGATTATTGAGGTACGACTGCTTGACTGATGCAGTAGTGCGAAAAATCTTCCCTTGACGGAACGGTCATAATTTGCGCCTTTCGATGGAGTATTACACGTTTGATTTCTTGGAAGGGCAAGTGCACATATTGGTCACTGACACCGGTCAAACTGTTCCTTCAAGGGAAATTTTGGTACTGTTGCATCAGTCAAATAGCCATATCTCAATAATCCGTTGCGTGCCAGTCTCGAATTTGGTATCCTTAGAAAGGGCATAACATGTGTTTTTGAATAAATTAATTGAACGAAGAATTCCAGAGGTGGCATGTCGGTTTTCAACACTGAACATGATGAAACCGTTCGGTCACGTGGAATTTCTTGTTTTATCTTTGAAGGATATTGCCTATAATCAATTGAAAGATGGCGATGTAGCAATTAAAATGACACATGAATGAAGCTTCTATCTTAATTAGAAGAGAATTTATTGCAGAAGCAGTTTCACAATTCCCGTAAGTTCCCGTAATTCCCCCACAGGGAGCCAAAAATTGGCGCCAGTCAAATGCATATATCAGGCGATTGGTGAGAGATATTTAAAAAAAATTGGCTGAAATTGGTTTCTTTAAATCGATTCCGCTACATGTATGACTATTTTCGTCCAATTCGGTGCTGGTCGAGCTTACGCTCTGGTCGAATTGGCGTGGAATGACCCACAAATTAATAGCGTGGATATTTGCATGGACATTGCCTCCAATTTTAAACTGCCTTCAAAGTTTAAAGTAATTCTTGGAAGTCATCTGAAAATCAGCGCGAATAAATTTTCAGTTTTAGATAGTTTGAACCTTGGAACCAAAGTATCTTAAGAATGAGGATAATTCTTCTTTTTTCTTTGCACAGATCTTTCCAAACTACTGTGAAAAATGACAGCCAAATCATGCGCGAATGTCTTGATTCTCCTTTGACCAAGAACGATTTGACTGAGACCACGCCGAAGAATCATGCAGCAGTCGACCGCGTTTCTCCTGCACCCCGCCAACGACCTCGAGCTACTTACCTTCCTCTAGGGTGTGATGGAATGACCCACGATTCAGATGACACCTAAATCACCTTTCGTGGTGAACCGGTTACCGAGTAGTGGGACTAATTCCTGTTATTGTGCCTAAAATGGCCAGCAAACGACAATGGTCAATGAAACTCCTCCTCTCCTGACCACCATCTACTTCACTGGAAGCTCGGCCATGGAGGGTCAAAGCTACGGTTGTCACGATAGGTCGATGCATTGATGGTTGGAGGTATCGATAATTTTTCGAACGTCGCGACATATCGGCAAATTTTTTAAATGGAAATGTCCGATTGTATCGAGACGAGTATAGAACAATACAATCCGTTCGGACGGGGAATGGAAAAGGCGGCGTGACCCGTATGGGCCATGATAATTTCTTATCATGATCAAATTCAGCAAATACTGGGACTGACTATATGAAAGGCTGGAAGGAAAAAAAAAAACTTGGAATCGGAGACAGGAAGCGGGAAAGGAGAGAGAGGATCGACAATTTTTTTTCCTGTTCGTCTTTGACTTGGTCTCATCGAGTGCATTCTGGGAAAGTGGACTGTTCTTTTACTCACTTGATTTCGAAAATTACATTAGTTAGTCCCTCTCTCTTCCTGACTTTCTCTTAATTAAATATGCAGGCTTACATTTTTTAATGTTTAACGAGCTCTGGGGTATTTTGGATGACACACCAGATTCGATTAACTTTAAACTGATTCTTTTTCATAATGAGCATCTATGGGAAATAAGTTTATCTCTGTTAAACTGATTCCCATTGGGGAGCAATGTGAGATCAGTTTAGATTAGCTAAAACGGATACGGTGCATGTCACCCTTGACCACTTAAGGTGAACCTAAAGCGAATTTTTTAAACATGGACGTCGCTTGAATCTAGGGCTGTACCGATGTGTCAGCAACCGCAGGTATGTCACCATGTGCAGGTTTCCTATCTGCCAGTGCCGATATAAAAAAAAAAACCGTGTAGAACGAAGAAAAAGATACTAAAAAACATGGGTGAACGACCTTGGCAACTGATTCTGAACGGCAATAAGAAAATACTAGGCTGGTCCTGATGCATCCATGGATGAATGGATGTCACTTTCGATAGTTGGAGACATGGAGAGGCTTCATTACTCGTTGGGAAGGTCACACCTTCCCCCGCATCTTCCAATCACAAGCGTGAAATTATGAAAGAGGGATAGGGGTCCTCACCCCGATCGAGGCAAGAAACGACGGACGTCAAACCTTCGCCCAAACGCAGCGAGAAAATATTGACTCCTCCAGGACCCCAGGATGCATCGATAAACTATCGATAGTTCAGGTCGATGCATTGATGCTTTGAAACCTCCCATTGTGGCAGCCCTAATCGAAACTGGCTGGAACTTGTGCTGTGGCATAGGTAGACATTATGAACCCCAACGCCTGGATCACGGAGAGGGAATGCAGACCTTTACACAAGCCATGAACGCGTTCTTGCAGTTCCAGACAGATACTCCAGGAAGGTGAGAAAAGGAGAGGGATTCACATTCCATTTATTTCATATTTGTGACAAAGATAGCGCAATTGTTAGAGCCAAAAACAGTACTTCATTTACATTGGACAGCAGAATCAAGGCATGGAATGGAGCAGGAAAGAGACAGAATACAGATTCCTCAATTGAAGCACAAAAAATAATCCATTCAAAGGGTCTAGAACAATTCAACGGACGAAGTTATTACCGGTAATTATCGATGGACGCAGTTTACTTTTTCTTGCTTGCACAGCATGGAATATTTGGAATGAGAAAGGAATATTGTCTCTAACGAAGGCATGAGTTAAATGACTTCGTAAGAAAGACATATTACTCAAGAAAGATTCAGAGCATTACAACTCCATCCAGTGATATTGACAAGTCTTTATGCTGCATGACGAATATAATATCAACTCTATCGAATATGGAAATTAGTCCATTATTGTCTTGACTTCTGCGAAGAAGTATTGAAGGATATCAATATTTTCCCAACGAGCTGCATATTGATCATTCCCATTCTACTCCATTCTCTCCTCGATGAGGAATTGGAAAGGCTTTGGAGGATTCAAGGCGAAACTGTCAACGCTCTCGGCTTTGGGATGAGGACGTCCCGTCGTGGTCCGAAATGTGAGTTTTTGCATGAAGATGGTCACGAACAAGAAAAGCTCCATGCGTGCCAAGGATTCGCCCAGACATTGACGCTTCCCTATTGCACGAAGTGCAGTTAGGAAACCATACTGCATCATGCATCATGACCTTCTGTCGGATAGAAAGGACATACCAAGGGCAAAAGGAAGAAAACTGGGAATTTTGGTCTTCAAGGTCCCGTCGGAGTTGAGAAATCTTCCAGGATCAAACTTTTCCGGATCCGGCCAGTACTTGGGATCCGAGTGACAAGACCATATGCTCGCCATGAACACCGTCCCCTATTAAACCGGCAGCATCATCAAACCTCCTGAGACAAGTGGCTCCAGTGCTGCGCATCCAAAACAATGAGATCACCTTGGGAAATTGATAGCCGTCGATTTCCACATCCTCAGTGGCCGCATGAGTCACGCCAAGGGGTATTAGGCGTGCCAGGCGCTGTACTTCCATTAGGAAGGCTTCGGTGTAGGGCATTCTGTTTCGTTCGTCGAGGGGAAAAAAACATGATAACTTAGAAGACTACAAATCGTAAAGAGGGAAACGTGCAGACAATTGAATGACGTAAATAAAGAGAAGAAATATAATCGAATACGTTTATAAAGAAGCAAAGCGAAGGTGACGAAAATTATGAAAAGAAAACGAATTCTCTGGGACTAAACTTGAAAATCATTATTGAGCAGCGATTCCAACCGAAAACATATTCGCGATATGATTAAGTGGTTGTGAAAGCCTCTAGAACTCAGCACTATTTTGAAGTGCACTGTCGCGAATTCTGCGTCATTAGAATCCTAAATTAAAGACATCCGACATATAATGATTCATCCTGAAAGAAGTCAACTTGCGCAACTTTGACTCTTTATGGTCAGCCGTTTTTCAGTGACAGTTTTCTGCCTAATGGGGAAAAAACCGCATTAATTAGGATGATCAGTCTGGCGGCAAACCTGTCTCGATCGTTGAGCGAAGGAAGTCTGTCGCGCCCGACGACGTCGTCAACTTCAGCCTGAAGTTTCCCCTGAATTTCAGGGTGACAGAGGAGGAAAAGGACGCACCACCGAATCGTGTTGGAAGTCGTCTCGCTTCCAGCGATGAACAGATCCGAGATGTTCACTCGCAATTGGAGTTCTATGGGGAGTAGAAATCACTCCGATTTGTGATCATTCCTTTCAAACATTTTTACTATTACTAATTGCAGTCCTGTTACCAGAAAAATTTGGGTTGATTTCTCCTCGTGACTTCTGCTGTTCCATTTCAGTGAGGTAGGCGTCGATGTAGTCCTTTGCTCCGCTGGACGAAGGCAGATCTCGCTTGTGTTTTCTCACCTCTTCCTAGATTGTTCACAGATTCAGAAACTACTAAGCGCATATGTAAATGGAAGCACCAAATAATAATTTCTCTTTGTGTCTTTGCAATATTATGTAGACGGGAAATGTAGACAACGATTCCTTGAAAGCAAGTGAAGGAGATCTCCCAATCCGGTTTCTATTTTCTGGAGCATGAGGACTGCGAGAAATTGTCAAATTGTATTTGCTAAAAGTTGCTGATGCTGAGATGATGAATGGCAAATAATCCTATGAAATGCTTGGGTGAAACTAAAGAAACTAGTGTGGTCACCTGGGAGAGACCTTTAGATATACGCCCTCAAAATGTCCTCATATTTTTTTTAAATCTCCGTTCTTTCAGGTCGTGCAAATGAGACTAAGAGTTATCAACATTATCAGCCCTTCTCGGTCCAATGCAGGATGAAGGCCTTCCCAAGAAGCTTCCGCTTTTCCCGGTCCTCGGATGTTCGTTTCCACGTTGGTCGAGGGAATTTCTTCATTTCGCCAATCCATCTCGTTTGCAGGCGTCGATTACGTCTCTTGTTATCCCTTGGTATCCAGTTGAGGATTTCCGTCGTCCGTCGCTGGTCTTTTCTTCTTGCAATGTGGCCATCCCACTGCCATTTGAATTTTTTCGTTCTTTCGATGATGTCGCTCAACTACATCTGTGCTCCGACCCATTCCTTCTTTTCCCTTTCTTTTCTCGTGACTCGCAACGTGCACCTCTCCATGCTGCATCGAGTCGTCTGGAGTCTCTTTAGCATTTTTGCCGTCAGTGTCCATGTCTCACATCCATATGTGAGAAAGTGGAGTACACATGGGTCGAAGACTTTCCTTTTGAGGCAGATAGGCAGGTCGCCCTTGAAGATCGAGTTGAGGCGTCCGGAAGCGCTCCATCCCATCTTCACTCTTCTCTTGATTTTTCCTGCAATTCTTTTGTCTGAAGATGTTTGCTCTTCTAAGTAGATGTAGTTGTCAACTTGTTGAAGCTTTGTGTCTTCGATTTATTTGGGTCTGATATGTTTGTTGAACATGACTTTTGATTTGACAAGGTTCATCTTGAGGCCTGCGTTTTTGCTGGCTTCTGCGGGTTCCTTCACTCGATTATCTAGTTCTTCGGGTGTAGATTCGAAGATAATGATGTCGTCGGCAAAGCGCAGGTGGCTCGGGTAGGCTCCGTTAATCCTGATTCCTTTCTTTTCCCAGTCAAGGATCTCGAAGACTTATAGCAAGAATTTTGGGGGGATAGTGTCACCCTGGCGAACGCCTTTTTCGATCTCGAACTTCTCCGTGTCTTGATGTAGTCGGACAGATGCTGTCGCCTTGTAGGCCTCGTAGACACCTATGTCGGCCTTGATGAGACCAACATAGGTGTCCTCGATGTTCTGCATCTTCAGCGCTCTGAACATCGATGTGGTGGTGAGGGAATCGAAAGCCTTTTCGTAGTCGATGAAACCTAGGCAAATTGGCATCTCGTACTCCTCGGCTCGTTCCAAGAACTCTTTGACTATTTGGACTACTTTGACTATTTGGATGTGATCCATGGTGCTGAACCTACTACTGAAGCCGGCCTGTTCTCTCGGTTGGGCGAAGTCAAGGGCTCCTTGGAGGCGATTGCTAGGTACTTATATAAAAAATTTTACAGGAAGAGTAATAAACTGATGAGTCTGTATGGATTTCTTGAGGTCTTCTCAGTCCCCTTTCTTGTGAAGGAGNGCATCGGTTTTTCAAAACAAAAAAATCAAAATTCACATTTCCGGACCCGTTTGGAAAAGATAATTTTGCTTTGTCTGGTGACGACACAAATTCATATATTCACAAAACCTGCCATAATTTTGAAAGTCCATGACATACTGATTCCTTATTCGCAAAAAGCATCGCCCTAGACTAATTCATTCAAATTTGGGAGGATTTTGAAAATATGGGACAAATACGTCCCTTGGTCCTGAAAGGGTTAAGACGGGACGGCTGAAAGTTGTAAAAAATATTTTGACCCATGCGCCCAGAAACGAGAATCGAACTTAATCATACTTGGGTAAATTACGTTAGCATATTTCGTATACGGTTATCAACGGACGGTACGAGGATGCATAGCTGTGCTGATATTGGGCTATGTTGAGGTGAAGATTAAAATTTATTTTAAAACGAAGAATAATTTCTAAATATAATTTTCCACGAGTGAATCTGAGGGATGGGATATCCTCTTCTTTGAAAGGGGAAAATGACTGGGAATCTCCGAATATTTCATCATCGACGACAACAAAACATATATCAGGTTGTAAAGGTGAAATTTAGACATTTTCCAGAAAACAATTTATTGACAATTAACAACGACTAGAGTGCAGTCTTGCGTCAATGTATCTGTTGTAGGTTCGCGATAAGCACTCACGCCCACAATCCCCACTGGTCACTCTACTTTTGGTCACTCTACTTATACACCTACATAGAAAGTTCTAACATTTTCCAGATTTTTCTAGAAAAAATCGAAATGTCTAAATTTCACCTTTACAACCTGATATAACTGACAGGCCTTGACATCGCCCGAAGACGTAAAGAGCTAAAACAGGTGGAAAATATTGATCCTTGAGCGACACGTGTCGGCCCCTACCGCACAGCTTCCCTCACTGCCTCTGCCGAAACCCGAAGCATCTGTGGCAGAACCTGTCGGAGATGGGTATTGAATTCCCTCACTGAAGCGACGGCCCCATCGGTCGAGATCATTTCCATGGTGTCAAGTCAATTACTTTCTTCCACCCACTCTCACCCTTTCTCCCATCCTGCACCTGACTTGTCATCTGAAAATTTCCCCTCCGTTTCCTAGCCATTTGCTCAGATATCTCGAGGATACGACGTATAACGTCAATACTAATACCATAATTATTCTCAAGGCGACAAATTATATATAGTCGTCTCTTCACCGATAGAGCGATGACTTCCTCATCCATTTTACACCTACTGCTCAATGTCAGAGTGTTGCTGATGCAGCAGGAAAAGAACGAGACAAGGCCAAGGGAGTGCGAGACCGGTGCCCCAAATACTAGAAAGTCTTGGGGCTCGGGATCGGGGCGGACGACCCTCTTTCCCATCCTGGCCTCCACAGCTCTTTTTTTATTATTAAGGGTTGTGATTGGTTCCTTGTGTACATCTGTATCTCAGACATTCTCAGATTTTTTTTCTTAATCAAAGAGATCTTCATTCAATAACCTTCAGTTGGCTGTGGAAGAAGGTAAGATTGATGCTCGAAATAGGCTGTTAAACCTGATGACTCTTTCATCCTCTTTTTAATATTAATCCTCGTCCTCACTTTTTTCATATCCTGGAATAAACAGGGTCCCACGCGGGGTTAAAAGCAGTCGCATGAAGTACTGACGTGGAGACTGTGCTTATACGAGTAGGTACCGTTTTTTCCGAAAGAGAGTTGTCGAAACCCCACCGCATCAGGTCGGCCGGAGATCTCCATTCGTCCGAAGAAATCGCGCACCAATTCCCAGTTGCTAAGCATGACGACCTGTTTGTGGAACAAGCCGAGGGTGTAGATGTCCCCGTACTTCTTCCTCATGGAGTCCAATATCTTGTGGAGGGGCCCTCCCAGGAGAAAGGGGATCGAGCCCAGAAATGGTACACCCCATGGACCTGAATTGGACATGGAGAATGATTTTCCTTGTCGCATTGCTTAATGGGAATTTTTTTTAAATGCTGGTTGAGAAAATTACCTGGTGGGAGTTTGGACCAAACGAGGAGTTTTTTCACGAAGTCGTGCAGGAGATACACGATGATGATGGACGCGAATATGAGAGTGACACTCATCGTTATCTGTCTCGCAGCACATGGAGCACTGAGGAAGTATTTCTCCCCGACCGAGCCTCTTCACTGTTTTCATTGGCTTCAATAAACAAGCTGGCTTCGTGAGTTACAACATGGTGGCTCGAAGAACGATGTTATAGAGTGCACTCTACCAAACCAGCTCAAGGCGGAGGATCACTTCAGTCTCGACATTCGGTATCACCAGGGGAAAGTCATACAGGGGTTGAAATTCTCAGCGCACTTATGCAATACGCATGCGCTATTAAATCATCTATTGTTTTTCACTCGAATTAGACATTTTTTCACTCGACTTCGACAACGGTGCATGGTGAGGGTGATATAGGGGATCGACGCAGAAACTAGGAGTTAAGTGCAGATGTCGTGACATTGGCGACAACAATGATGATTAATTTCCTGCTGAAGAGAGGGAAATCAATATGAACCTTCCCTAATACACAATATATTGAAATGATAATTTAATGTCGTAGTGAAAAACTAGGCTTTCGTGTCACCCATTACTGTTTTCCTTAATATTTCAATAAAACAGACGAAGTTTTGGGCATCGTTCCTGGGTTCTGAAGTATCGTTCCCCACGCCGTTGGGAAAGCCGATGGGAAATTGAACCTTTTTATCTAAATAGACTGCAACGAAGGTCTCCCGTTGGCAACATGGCTATGGATGCGGTTCATCGTTTCCAGTTCGATTCGTATGAAAAAGCCTAAATATTCGAAGGAAAGAAAGATGTCGCTAGTCACCAGGGGCACCTGCGCCCTCGCCTCTCTGAATACCCCTCGCTTCGGTGTCTTAGTCGAGTGAAAATTTGTCTAACTGAAGTGAAAAACACTGTATTTCACAAAACCTGACGGTCACGTGATTACCTTCCGAGCTCTCGCGGCGGTAGGTTCCTCTCTCGCTCCCTCTAGCATTCATTCCACTTTAACGGTTTCGTATTGAAGAAACAGATGCACTCTGACTATGTTGTGGGTTTCCTCTCGATTAATTTGACTTTTCTAAATATCAAAAGGGCCTTTCTCACGTAATAACAACTGAAGGTGGACTCGGAAGAATGGGAAAAAGCAGTGGCCTTGTCTTGTACATGGCAGAACTCTCTCTCGAGGAGGGAGTTCATTTGCATACATTTTGCCTCGTAGGACTTTTTCAGCATCAGAATCATGAGTCAAGGAGCGGCAGATGCTCGGAGGAAGAGAAGAACCAAGAAGAAGTATCACTCTTAGGCCATCGACTCATGGGAACATTGCAGAACTCAAATTTGAATGATGAAATGCTCCGTCTCCGAGAAAATAGGAAATGAAGGACTTTCTTGGGGCACCAGCTGTCCCAAGCCGGCCTCTGGGTCATTATATTTGTCTCTCTATGAGCGATTTGCAATTCTCTCTACTTCATTTTACAATCAGTCTCACAAATTTTTACGTAATTATGCTTTCACGTATTGGTAGATACTAAATAGTCGGACAAAACAAATGGAAAATTAATAGCAGGGCAGACCGCGTCGCACTGACGCAGTCGTCGTTTTTCGGGGGCTACGGTCGGCTTTTGCAATTGGAGAAAATCCGGCTGCGCGAAGGAGCATAGGTGCGCTCCGAGACTAGCTTCTCTCTTCTTCGCGTCCTGTGCTCGCCGCGTGTCTTGGGTGTCACCGTTCGAGGAGCGACTTAGCTGTCTCAGCCTTGTCTGTCTCACAGCACGTGGAATGCCGGCGGAGTCTTTCATACGACCGAGTCTCTTTAATGTTTATGGCTCTGTCGTCATCAGCTCTAATAAACAAACTGCCTTCTTGAGCTACAAAACGGCTTGTACCTAATGAAGCCTGGGTAGGGGAATCGAACCTCAACGGCACGCGGACGCTCTGCCTAATAGGTCATTTCCGCTTATTAAAAGGACGTGTCGTGACCTCGGGGCCTTGCGAAGGAGCCGATGCAAATCCAGACGTACGTGACTGCATGAGCTTCACTTCACCCCCATCTTCTGTCGATTCTCGTCCTCATCCACCCACGGATTTCAATTCTTACGAGCTGTTTATGCTCAGTGGTCGCATTGTTTCAAAATGCGGACGGTTTCGTTCTACTTCACTTTGGAACGAGTAAGATACCAAGTCTTTCGACGCAGTGCTTATTGGAGTACAGATTTACAAATGTTCAATCTTGAGTGCTTGCATTTAAGATTAAACTGAAGATTAAATTGAAGCTTGCGCGCTTGACTCCTCCCAGCTCATTTTTATGCTTCCTTCCACCAGATGTCTCCAACGTCATGCAACCAGCGAATACCAATGTTTGGCAACCGTCAGTATGGCACCATCTGCCACCGGTGCCGTTATGCAAAGAAGACCGTGTAGAGCGAAGAAAAAGATAACTGCTTGAACGGGCTTGGCAAAAATTAGGGCTATCTTGATGCATCCATGGATGAATGGATGTCACTTTCGATAGTTGGAGGCATGATAGGCTTCATTACTCGTTGGGAAGGTCACTCATTCCCCCCCGCATCTTTCGATCACAAGCCCTGCAAATTCCACCATATTCGCGTTGACAGGAATAATTTCTGCCGCTCTTTGAGATCAATAATGAAGTTCGGCGAGTTAAGCAATCGAGTTGGACAATCGGTGAATTTGCGAGTCGGCGAGATGATAGGGAACCCCTAAGACTGTGCCATGTAACGGCCTTTCCCTTCTCTCCAAGAACGAAACCGTATGTGCGAAAATAAATTTATTAGACTCTTGGATACAATGGTCAACTCAAAAGTTGCTCAGTATCTCGGCACGTACAGGACTTGCTCTCCCTTCTCCTCGCTGCTGTCCCCAGCGTACTTCCCCTTGCCCCCGTACTTGACCTGGCCCTCGTACCTCACGACCGGGCGGTAGCCGTAGGCGTCAGCCTTGTACGTGACGATCTGCGTCCTCCCGTCGGGGAGCTTCACTCTGTATTCGCCCTGGGTGTCCTTTCCTTTCCTCTGCTCGGCGTGGCTGTAGTAATTTCCACTCTTTGCGTCGGCCACTCCCCACTTGAAGTTATAGTTGGGCTCCTGGAACATAACAAATCGGGTTTTATTTTCAGCATTCTTCCACAAGTTTTTTTTTCCCAGATGCCAGAAACTCCCGATACAATTTTTATAATTATCTACATGTACTCACTGACCAGAAATGTATAGAAAGAAAACTCACGGTGTGGTAAGCTTTCCCATACTCAGAAGATCCATATTCGTTCCCACCCCGGGCCTTGCCATAGTACACAACAGCCTGCTCTTCGTCCGACTCCTCGGAGGACTCATCGCCCCCATGGGCCTTGCCGTAGGGGACGACGTTTGGTTGCGCCTCGCCGCCGTGAGATTCCTCGGAGGAATCGCCGCCCTCCCCCATGCTGACGACCACGGAGGAACCTTGTCCTTGGTACTTGTAGCCCTTGTGGCCGTCTGCCGTTGCCATGCCCAAAAGACACAGCGCAACCAGTACCTGCTGCAGGATTGTAAAACTCGGCTCGACTCATCCATGAAGTCTATAAATTATCGTACGAGGGCGGGCTAAAAAGTTCTCAGCCTAACTAGGGTCGTTCGATATACCTCCAACAAGTGTCCGTTTCAAGTTTCATTGAAACACTAGCTTTTCTTTTCCTTATCCCAAGACCGGCCTATTGAACAATTTTAATGTTATATATTGCATGTTCATACATACTTTCGTTCACCTGCCCTATTATATACGTAATTATGAGGAACTCGAGGATATTGTCTATGAACTTCGCAGCATTGCTCGAGAAGGAAAATGAAAGATGAACTCACATAAAAGGCCATTACGAATGCTGTCGGGAAAGTGAGGAAAGGACAGAAGACTGAAGCAAGGGAAGAATCCGACTGAGTTGCCGGCGTAACCGGCCGGTCGTCTTATATATTCGACAGCCGCGCATAATTTTCCAGAGTAGTCAATGTCGACAGGGACCGGAATCCGCGACGGCAAAGTGTCAGGGTCATTCACTAAATCACATAACGTCAGGGCTAGGTCCAACGAAGCTATACTACAAATGTCCCTGTACAAGTACACGTTTCTAATATGCATTTGAATCTATTTCAGTTTGAGTCTGATTCTAAGTCAATGTCGTGAAATAAATACTAATAAACGTCCTTTCCATCAATACCAACGACAGTGACCTGCATGTTCCAGTTTGGAAAATATTGCAGTTTCGAGTGACTTATGTGACACCCGGCACGTATAGATGGAGTGCCATGCGCCAGATCCGTTCAACTTTAAACTGATCCGGTTTCATAATGGGCGTCATTGGGAATGGGATTATCCCCGTCATACCGGTTCCCACAGAGGACCATTGTGAGATCAGATTAGTTCAAACAGATCTGGTGCGTGTCACCCTTCATGTTTTAATTATTGTCTTCGAAGTTCCAATCAAGAAAGTCTTGGGTTAAAAATATTTCTTCCAGAAAGTTCCAAATTTCCCAATAACTTTGTGGAAAGGACATTACGGAAAGACTCTTTCACCATGTAATCGAAACAAACGTTCGATGACTTTCTCCTGTTGCAGAACGAAGTTTCCACACACTTATGTCGTTTGGGGAGAAACTGGCCTCCGAGGATGGTGTTGGCAGCAGTACTCGCTGTTTATCCAAGATAAACAACCTCTGTTCGACCCATCACAGAGAATGCGACTGACACCGTGACCTTGTCTGAGTGATGCTGCCTTCATTCTCGTGAGTTTAATCATACTGGACCGTTTCATCGCTCGTTAGATTTGATTGAATTGTGTCAATACGGCATTATAGCCTGAGCCATAGCATTTTTAGGCTGGAGGATCCTTTTTCTTCCCCCTCTCCGAACAGGGTGGGCCTGTCTGTATACCTCTAGGTCCGCAGGTTTATTGGAGCGTTCAGAAAGTCCTCCTTTGTACTTGATATAGTTTCCTCAAGCATGCTATAATAAGAAAAAAGACCCTCCACAGTCTTCCATTCCAGTATTTATGAAAATTTAGCTGTAACACAGAGCAGGCCTTTTAGTTTTGCCTCCTCATCATGCTTTACAAGCAAGTTCGGATGATCGTTGTATATATGTATGAATGATGTATAAACTAAAAAGAAATAATGCGAAATGCATTATTTCCCACACCTCCCTTACTCCTCTCACAAACCCGGGAGCGAGCGTCTTTGCTCCCGGCGAGGAGAAGGAAGGTGTGTACCCAATAAAGCCTGGGTAGGGCGCGGTTGGGGAATCGAACCCCAACCTCCCGGACGGCACGCGGACGCTCTGCCTGTAAGGCCGTTTCCGCCGGTTAAAAGAAGGCGTCGCTTGATGGATGGATGTAGGAAACGCGGCGCAGACGTAGCCTCGGGGTCATGCGAAGGAGTCGACGCAAAATCAGACGTGTATGTCTTGGGTTTGTTTCTCCCATTCGTCTGTCGAGTCCCATCCTCACCGGATACATCCATGGATTCCGATTATTATTTCTCAGTCCGTCGAATGTTCGATGAAACTTTCCTCCATTCGCCACCGTTCTGCCTGTGCAAATGAGAATGCGAAACTGCGTCATTCCAAATGGGCATCCATTATTTTGCTTCATCTTCCGTGTAAGAGTCTTGTTCATTCATCGTGTCAATGGTTAAGTCCCACGATGCGATTGGTTTTCGTTAAAGTTACTTGTTTTCTTGAAATGGCGAAGCTGGAAACTCAAGCGGATGGGGAAATCGTTCCAACAAGACCTAGTTTTTTTGCTGCTTCGTCGTGACCAATTTTTTGTAAGCATCGATATATTACCCACTGCGTGGGTAGAGCTGCTTCTCAGTGTGTCCATAATTGTGTTGACGGGCACAAGGAATTTGGAATTTCATAATTCCTTTTCTTCATCTGCCGGTGCCGATATCCAAAGAAGACCTTGTTGTAGAAAGAAAAAGAGAGGGAAAAATCCTGCTTGAACGAGCCTGCCAACTGATTCTCAAAGGCAATAAGAAAAAATTCGGGATGTCACTTTCGCATGGTAGGCCTCATTACTCATTCCGAAGAGTTACATCTTCCTCCCGCATCCAGCGAACATAAGTGTGAGTTGATGGAAGTAGGATAGACGTCCGCAACCTTATCGAGGCTAGAAAAGACGGAAGTCAAACTTTCGTCAATCGCGAGAAAATAATGAATCCTTCGGCACCCTTTCCCGATGCATCGATACACTATCGATAGTTCCGGTCGATGCTTTGAAACCTATTATCGTAACAGCCCTAATTAAAACTGGTTGGAATTTGCGCGATGGCATAGGTAGATATCATGCACCAATGGGGGGGGGGGGAGTATAACCACCAACCCCCCCCCCCCC